GCGTGTTTGTATCGTGTAATTGTAAGTCGCGAGAGCGTTCGTTTTGCCATTCTGTGTGTGTCGGATTTATTAGAGTCTCCGCGTGTCGTGAATTAAATTCTGTGTCGAGAGCGTTAACTTTCTTGTGTCGCGATAAACGGGCCTCGCCGTAAATCTCGGGCCACGCGCCGATGCACGCCGCGAGCGCGTGAACCGCGTGCGCCCGCGCGCCGATCACCGTCCTCGCGCCCGCCGTACCTCGGGCGTCCGGGTTGCCTCGGGCAAGTATTTGGACTTGTAATTTCCGACGGGGAGACGGAATCGAACGATAATCGCGCCCTGTATAACGCCAACGCGACGCGAGTGCAGGTCCTCGGCCTCGTGCACGAGGGGACTATTTGAGTGCCGCGGAGTAATCCCGCCCGGCGTACCGCCGTTCCACCGCGAAGCATTGCGAGATTGCTTAAAGAAAGTCGTTCGATTCTCGTCATCCCGGTCCGCTATCCGACACACACCCGTGTCGCTTATCTCACCCGCGAGCGTCTGTAATTTGTACGAGCATCCTGGCGTGGCGTTAGTCCGCCAAGGATCGGCGCCGGAATACGCGCTCCGTCCCGCGCGTCTCGCGAGTACCACGCGAGGTACTCGCCGCTGTAATTCACTCGCCCTGCGAGACCATCGAAAATACACGTCTCTTATTTCATATTAATTTCCGGAGCAATTATTTTTCCTCCTTGTCGCTCTCCTAAGCCTCGCATTTAACGAACCGCCCCTCTACCTTTGTCGGAGCTGGTTAGCCGGCCTTCCGCGCCGTCGTTGCTCGCCCGTCCGGACTTCCGCGAAAATCTAAGTTGCCTCGATCTATGGAGCTGTGCGTCGGGAATCGGAGATAGCTCGGATATTATATAAATTTGGTTCGCTCACGCGGGCCTGGCGCCCAAACCCCGCTTACATCCGCGGAGACGATTACGGTAACGTCTGAATTACTTGTATCTCCGATCGGGACGCGAAACTCTACTCGATCCGGACGTGCGAACTCCCGACAGGATTGCCTCGCACCTACGCGTGCGGTCGCAATGTATGTATTTATATTTTATATGTATTATTTAATGCATGCAATTAATTGTAATTACATTACTCACTTTCAGCGCTATCTAAGATCAACCAACGTGGAGGTAGTGAGTGTATGATCTCTTTTTTACTTTTTTTACTACATATATTTATTGTTTTTTATAAACATAAAAAACAAAAAGTAAAAGTACAAAAAAATAAAAAAATATAAAAATAGTAAAAAAAAAATAAAAAAGAGAGATCATACACTCACCACCTCCATGTTGGTTGATCTTGGATAGCGCTGAGAGTGAGTAATGTAATTACAATTAATTGCATGCATTAAATAATACATATAAAATATAAATACATACATACATATAAAAATATAATTATTGTTGGCCGGAGTCTCAATTACGAAGTCCTTCGTATTTTATTTATTTTAC